GAGAAATAGGACTAGTGGGTGGGTGATAATTTCACATATAATATCTATCTAACCCACATCTGCCTTGATAGAACTTTCATTGCTGTGAAAAGGGAGGAAAGCCCAGTTAGATGGGTTCAGGAGACTATACAGGGGACATGATTTGCATACTGCAAATGTGGAAAATCTGTGGACAGGTTTTGATCTCCAGGAATGAAGAGAAATGAGGCAGTGGCTGGAGACAGTGCAAGATTAAGGGAAGTTTTTTTAAAGGCAGTGATATTCAGAGTGTTTGCATAAGTTAAGCCAACAGAGAGGGCGAAATGGTGATGCAAACGAAAGGGATCCACAGAAGGATCAATGTTCTTGAGTCACTGGCAGGGGATGGGACCTAGTGGACAAGTGGAGGGGTTTGGACACAAATCACTTTGATTCGAAGACCATTTTATCAGAAACTTAAACAGTTTTGCCCCACTGCCTCCTTTGTATAACAACAAAGTTCTGTCCCTATGTTCTAACTACCTTTCGTTTAAGAAAAATGAGTACTCGTCGAAGTTTCTAATCTCACCGTGTTTATACACGGCTCTAGGACTCATTTCCTTTGCATTCTGTTGAAGAATGTGCTGGCCTTGCATTTTATGTTTTGTCAAATAAGGTTTAGTATTAGTATTCAGATAGAGATGAAGGTAATATAAACAGGGTAACAAATTGGAGCAGTAACCAAAATACAAAAGTCATGACGGCAAGAACAGGTGTCTGTCTGGTTCACCCTTCACCATTGTACTCCGTGCTCATTATATTTCGGCACTCACTAAAAATGTGTCAGGGGGGACAAAAAAGAATGAATGAATGGTTGCCATAGCTTTTAGGGTAACTTGTATAACAAAAAGACCCAAAATACAATGTCTTGAACACAATAAATGTTCTTTCTCCTGTGACAATCTGAATCAGGAATTTAGGGCTGGGGAAAGGAGTAGAGGGCTTGCTCCACGCAGCTTTTCAGGGACCCAGGCCAACTGCCTCTCTGTCATCTTCAGAAATGAGCTTCCAGGATACTCTGGTGGTTTCCACCTCCATTCCAGCTCACAAAAAGAGAGAATGAACGTTGATGAATGTCCCTGCTGGGGCAGTTTACTGACCAGGCCTGCAAGCCACACATAGCGCCTCTCACATCCTAGTGTAGAGAAGTTGGTCACGTGGCCATATCTCACTGCAAGAGGAGCCAGTAAATGTGTTGTCGCTGGGCACGTGGCTTCTTCGTTACTGTGGAGGAAAAGGATTCTAGAATGGATTTGGGTGCACAGATAGCAAGCTCTTCCATAGGCGTCCTCTTACAGTACCAGTAGTTCTATTTGGAATACGGATTCATTTATATGGTTTTAAGTGGTAAAATATAAAATACATAGAAGGGCACAAAAAGAAATTCAAATCTGTCATTAATCATTTGTTAATGAGAATATATCAAAGAGTCTCTTTCTCTTGGAGCTCAAGGTTAGAATAATGAACCTGTTTTGACTAGCAGCGTTCCATGTAGCCTCCAGACTGAGCTGTTTGTATATTAAGAGAAGGCTTTTTTTTTTTTTTGGTGTCCTCTATAAAGGCTTTGTCAGCATTTTATACTTTTAGAAGACGAATTTGTTTTTGCTCCAAGTGTTTTCAAGTGCTTCAGTGGTCAAACAGGTTTTGAGCCTCGCTTTCAATGCCAAAACAGAGAGGGGGCTGGGGGAAGAAGTGAAAATAAATTCCACAGTCTAAAACTAATTTTTTCAAGGCTTTGCTTTTTTCAGATTTGAAGTTACTTTTATAATGGAGCAGGGTGGTTCTTAAAATTCCGTTCCTTCTGATACCAAAAATTGTCCAATTAATTTATATCGTAGCAAATCTACGTGTTTTGAAAGTCACTGGTAGAACCTTAGAGGCAGAATTTTATGGATTATAAATAAGGCTTTATCTGTTTTTTTTCATGCAATTCAACAAGCGATTTCATTACATTATACTTAAAGTCATAATCTGTTCTTTGCTCTTTCTTAAAATTACCTATTTAAAAGATTCTAACTTCAAAAGGCTAGTTAAAAGTTAATGCAATAAAATATTTTATAATAATACTATTACTTCAACCTTTAAGAAATGAAAACATTAATTAACTACTGTTACCTCACCTAGAGAAGTGTTTTGGACATGAAACAGTTCAAAACCTTCAAAAGATATTGAGCCAGTATTTTCTCATAAGACAAGTGCTGTTAACAACTGTAGAACATTTGAAAGTCCAGTAGCTTACCTCTCATATAGTGAAAGCATTTCACATTAAAAAGCCGTTATTTTGACCTGTACATCCCATTTTCCCTTCCTCCCATCTCAGTGAAGTGGGGGAATTGCTGATTTATATTTATCTTAATCTTCCCTCCCTAAACTTTAGGCAAAGGATGGAAGTTAAGAGTCTATAAAACATTTTGCACCATGGAAATACGTACTTTAGTTACTGTACTCATAGATCTTTACTACCCATGTCTGTTTCGTTCTGGAAAAATTAGGGTAGATTGCCAGATGTAACACATTCTTCACATGTTCCTGTTTCCAAACGGTATAGGGTCAACCCAACCACCTTAGCAAAGGAACACTGTGTACTTGCATGGTGCTTTAGTGAGAGCAGACCATGAATATTCAACAGTCTCAAGTGTGCTGAGGACAACATAAAAATTGGAATTATTTTAAAGTTTTAGAGAGGAATGTTGAACAATATTGAAAGTCACCCTTTGTCAATTACATCTATAAAACCTCAGATCCTTGGAGAGTTCTTAAACATATGGACAAAACATTTTTTTTTAAGTGGGGTGGGGAGAATGTTGAAGAAGTTCCTATTTATTTGTTTTAACCTCAAGATCAGCTAAACTTTCTCAGATTCTACACTGCATTTTGTAAAGCCTTCTATTGTGTAATGTAACTATCTTTTTAAAATAATTCTCAAAACTTGTATCAGTTATATCTTAGTTCTTTCTGTTTAGGAGAAAATCTTGTAACATCTTCTAACTGAAATATTTTTAAATTTATATAATGTTATTAAGGTTTATTTCCTGTTCTCTCTTTCTGAATATTTCTGAGCCTTAATCTGGAGATTTTTATGTCTTTTGAAATAGTCACTTGCATATAATTATACATGTATTTCATCGACACTGTTTTGAAATGATCTGAAGGTAAAGGGTTATGCTTTTCCTAAGAATTCATGTTTTAGAACTTTAGGAAAACCTAATACTATTGCACTAGATCTTACACTAAAGATTTTGATGATCTATTGAAGATTACCAATGAGAACAAAGATTCTTTGTCATAGATATATCCCTCTTTATCAGGCTGATCGTATTCAGGTAATAAGAGCAATTCTGCTTTAATTTAATGAGAGCCATTTTAAAGAGACCTCTTGTAACTCAAACTTTAGAGGTATAAAAATGTGAATATAATTGTTGTCATAATTTATTTCTCAGATTCATTCTAAAATCATCTAACTGTAAATTATCTAAGCGTGTAAGTCAATGTTCACTAATAACAGACCGAAACATTCCTGAAACATTGTCTTAACTGTGGACAAATAGTAAAATATTTTCCAAGGGGAGTTTCATAGTTTTAGAAATAATAATAACAACAACTCATATTCATTAAAGGTACCAGGTATTATTCTAGTGCTTTACATGTATTATCTCATTTAATCCTCATGATCATTCGATGTTAAGTATTTTTACCATCTCCATTTTTCAGATAAGGAAATTGAAGGGCAAGTAGGCTAATACAGTAGGTAAATGATGAAGCTAGGATTCAAACCCAAACATTCTGACTCCAGAGCCACCATTATAACTATTATAATTATGCTGTCTCACTTTGTTTTTATTCTTTGATGGAGCCTAGGGTTTTAATCTTTAAGAAGTCTAGACAAGCAAGAAGTGTAGTCAAACCACCATAAAGGGAAAATAATTCATCTATCTACCAAGCCAAATATTTGTTTTCTACTCTAATTATATGTTTACTTTTTTTGGAGATTTTTATATGTGTCAATTTCATGGGATTATTGTGAACCTTAGTCAGATTTACCTTGTAAGTGTTTTTCATAATGGAAGGTTATAAATATGTAGATGAACACATGTTGTTTCAATGTGTGTTCTTTATTTCGGTGACACTGAATGGGCAGATTGTGCTTAATGTTCTTTTAATGCATGTGTGAATCTTTGAGTTCAGTGAAATTCAGGTTTAAATCTCCAAGGCAGCTATGTTTTTGAGTCTACTCAATGTAAATATGCTCATTAGCTCATTTGTAATCTTCCTTCATGGGGATGGCTTATTTATTTTGTGCTCAGTCTTCTGAATTGTATGTAGACAGCATTGGCTGTATTCATAAAGGCAGTCAAATGATGCCTTTACAAATAATGCCTCCTGAGAAGCAGTAAGCCCTCTTGGTCAATGTGAAATACATGCTATTTAAAGTAGGTTTCCTATTTTTATTTTTTCCCATCTTAGCAAATATAAACATTAAATATCACAGAAAGAAAGGTTCTTAAGTTAACTCAATTTCTTTTTATGGATATTTTACAGTTTAGGTATATATTACCCCAGATCATATTGGCAATCTATACTGAAAAGTTGTTATATAAGCAGTGAATGTTGTATCAGTTTCTGATTATATTTGAGATCAGATTCCTCAATTCTAGTTCTAATGCCACCCTCATGTTCTGGCAATCTGGATTTTGCTATATTTAGCTATAAAGTATAGATAATACCTAACAGGGGCACAATGACCATTTGTATGATGCTGTCAGATCTCTTTGTTAAAGGAATGATAAAGTTGAACATGATTTTATGCAAGCAGTATATAATAAACTCACACTTTTACTAGTTTTTACAAATATAGAAATACAAAGACTAGAATTAGTTATAGCTGCATATTATCTGATTTGTTTGTTTTAAAGAAGGGAAGGTCTGCTGTTCCATATTTCTTACCATTCCTATTGTATAACCAATGATTTGTTTTGTTACAGAATATGGAAAGCCTCAATTCCACACCATCGCATGAGAGCGCCAGACCTGATGACGTTGAACTGATGTCTGGTGAAAGGTAATTTTAGAATTTCCTCCTCACATGGTTTATAAAAGTATGGATAGATTTATTTTTCACTTAATGCAGTGTGCATATAAGAACTAAACAGAAGAGGATTAAAGAACTCTATGTGTACCAACATTATTTTATAGCAAGGAAAGTGCTTAGAATAGAAAGTCTGCCACGGTGCTGTGAAAGGCCAATAACCATATCCATGTTTGTGTTTCTACTTTTGTTTTATTTTGATTAATTTTGGAGGGCGTTGTTTTTAAATTTTATAAGAATTTGATTTAGAGCTAGTCAGCCTGCTTTTAAAATAAATTAAATCATAATTTCAGAGGATGAAAAGCATTATTATAAACAGCTTGACATTTTATGATGTTTTGTTTTGTTGTTGCTGTTGTTTATAGCAAAGAAAATGAAAGAGACAGTGGACACACCCAGCATTTTGAGGTGAGTAGCTAACAAGTAAGATTGTGACTGACAGGACTGTTTACATATTGCTGAGAGTACATGTGAAGTCGTATTAGCCTGTCAATAAGGGATAATGAGATTAAGTGCCAGCACTGTGTTTGGTTAGAAAGGTAAATAACGAGACACAAAGATTACTTGAGAAATGATAAGAACTCTGGTTCTTTCCCTTTTAAAACTCTTTAATTTTGCTTGCAAAGATAAAAGTTCAATAGCATGGAGATTTCTCTTTAGGTTTCCATAAAATAAAACAAAGCAAAAAGCCACTGGTTTGATGTTCCATGATTTTATGCATTTTTAAAGTGATTGAAATAAATAGCCAGTGACTTTCAATGGATCTCTCACAGGGATGATCTCATGCACTGTCAAATTAACATAAAATCACTTTGAGTTATTCAATCTAATCCATTTTCTGAATTTGTGTCTCGTTTTAAGTAAACAACAAAGAAAAAAATATGTAACCCCCTTGACATTGTCTATATCTGAAAGTTTCGGTTACTCTCCTGACTTTCCTGTTGTCCTTTGAGGACTTTGCCATGTGGACCCAAGGATTTGGTTTCCTTGCTCCCAACCGTGGCTTCTGTTCAATGTGCTCAACCTTGTTTTTATTCATGTATGTGTATGTAATCTCCCACCACATGCTTCCCACTCTGCCTTCATGCTTATTACTGGTTTTCTTTATGGCAGGAATTAAAGCTTTTCTCAACCTGTTCTTGGATTCCGAATCTTGATGGATTAATCATACATAGAGCTGTCCCTCTAACTCAGCGATTCCTAATCTTTGTTGGGCACTGAGCAAATTCACTGGTGGATTTATTCAAGAACATAGATTGAGTCCTACTATGTACAGGCACTGTGCCAAGAGCTGGGATTTAATAACGGCTGCAGCCCCTGCCCCATAGAAGTTTACAATCTAGCAGATTAAGAAATCTGAAAACTGTGGACCTCTTCTTAGAGAAATATACATTCATGTAAAATTTGTCATAAAATTGTTGGAAATTATCGGCAACCCCTGCCAGTGCTATCGACTCCTCCTATTTTCCCTTCAGTTCTTGTCATGTGTATTCCTTCATTAACACAGCCAGATCATAGGAGGGGAAAGCTGCCTCTTTCTGTCTTCGCAGTTTCTGAGCCACCTCATCCTCTTTCCAACTCATTTAAGCTTCCTTCCTTGGGACCCAGGCAACAAGCTGACATTCTTTTCTCATCCCTAGGAACATTTTTTCAGAGCACAGTTTCCCCATGATGGTGTTGTTCTATTTTTCTTCTGGTTTCACCCTTGCTCTGCTCTCTCCCTCTGTTCACAGCAAGCACCTACTCCTCATGCCATTCAACACTATTTTAAAGAAGATTGCTTTGCTAGCCTCCTGGAGAGGTCTTCTGGGTTCTTCCCTTTTATGCCTATTATCCTTTATGAGATAAAAGGGTACAGAGCAACCTTTGTGGATGAACTTCATAACACAAACTCATAAATTCCAACTGGCACCCAAACTAAATCCGTGCTGAATTCACTTTGCCGTGGTGTTTTTGTGGATAACTCCCGTGGCGGTAGCTGAATCATGGGGAAGGAATCTCAAATCCTTCTTTCATGTGCCAGGACCTATTCTTACATAGGTCACCCCTGTGCAGTTATCAATCAGCACCTAGCCTACTGTTGGCACTCCTTAAGCATTCACTATTAATAATCATTGTCATCATCATCATATCAGCTAGGAGATAAAATTAGGTGGTGAGTTAAAATCTAGACTAAGCTTTTCGTGTCACCTTTCTTTCACAACGACATTAAAGGAAGAAAAAAAGACATCACTCCACAAGATGTGGGATCATGTTTCTATTCATGAAGGCATGCGCTTCTTTCACTGGAGGAAATATATTATTATTAATGAAGGGCTGCGAAAAGATCCATCTTCCGTTTTGAAAGCTCTTTCCCTTGTTTCTAGTATGTTGTAATTTTTTACTTTTTAATATATGTAGCACTTTCTAGGACTTACTATACAACCGAAATAGTTAATCTGGTCTTCTGGGAATACCTCAATAATTCCTCAATTTCAGACATGAAAGTTAAGTCTAGACTTTAGTTACCGCTCCTCAAATTCTGTTTAGCCAGGATTTTATTTCAAATCTCCTATAGCATCAGATCGAGATGCCAGAATTTACATGCTCACAATGAATGGGTATGATAATGTTTCCAATTTCATTTTCCATTAAGACAGATTTTATCCTCATTAATGTAATTGTCTATTAAAATTTTCCTTGTAAGCTCTCAGATTCGAGCAGGATACAGCAAATGACAGACAGCTACTGGGGAAAGGTAGCTTGTCTTTCATGTTTTGACTAGCATTTCCATTAGAATGAGAAACATTAATGTTCAGCCTCAGAATTGCTTTTTAAAGGGATAGATCAGCAGATAGAGACTTGTCTTAGAGTCTGCTTCTCAAAGGCAAATAAATACAGGCACAACTGTGACTTTATTTTTTAAATAATCATTTTGCAGCATTAAATGTGTTTTTGTTTGAAAGAATGTGTTGAAAAGTGACAATAGGCTTATCCCTTAATTGCATGTCTTTTATTTCTTTTAATTATGCAACTAATTTTATCCAAAAAGAGAGTTTCTTAAGTGGTTTGTATTAAAATCTGTTTAGTTACATATTGATAGTGGAAAAAGAAATGTAGAGTCACTTCAAAAATGCCAAAACTTAAAGTATGATTTCTTTGAGTAGGATTGGAAAACTGGCCTTTAATAAAGTAACCTGTTTGGGCTGTATGAAATGATATAAGAAAGAACCTAGCTCACTGTGAAATCCAGAGTATTTGCTCTTTTGTTTATTTTTAAACTAAATTAACAACTGAAAGTATCCAGAAGAGAGGTCACCCTTAAAACTAGCAATTTCTAGATTCTAAAAAAAATCACTAAAAATATAGAGTTCTGTTTACAATGGAGTGTATGCCTTACACTTCAATTTGATTCCTTCTGATAAGGTATTTTTCCATTGTGGAAATATTTTATGGTTTCATGTAAAATCCAGAAAATTCAAACTATAACCTTATACTTAATCTCTTTGTCAAAAAGCAAAACATGTAAGATTAATACATGGAAAGGTATTATATTATCTGGAAGAGGTCTTTTTATATCACTAGTCTAAGGTTAATGAAGTGTTAAATTCTTTCAAGATATTTTTACATTTTTTATGCTTTCTAAGCCTACTGCTTAAGAGAGCTTAGGAGCATACCTTTGATAACAAACAAGATGTTCATAATAAACAAAAGACTATTTCCCTTTTTCTTATCCTGCTTTAAAAGAGAGAGAGAGAGAGAGAGAGAGAGAAAGAAAAGAAAAGAAAAGGAACAGAGGAGAAAGATAAAGGAGAGAAGACAAGGCTTTCCAGTCAAAACTGAGAAGTAATATTGACCACAAGACCTTAAGTGCAGCGTTTTATTTGTCCTGATAAAGTTCGACATTCATTCTGAAGTAGCCCCATCAACAAGTATTTATGAAATGGATGACTTTGTTATTTCAGCTTCACCGTGTTTCATGGAAGCTTTAGGATTTTGTTATTGGTTATAATATTAGAACCAGAAAAATTAAAGATCTCTTTTGTTCAGATTCACTTCTAATTCCATCCAGTTTTGAAAGGCTACTGAAGCTTTGCTGTTCACATTGACTTGGGAAATTTGTTATGTCCATTTTCCTCTATTGTCAGGCCAAACAGTAAATATTTATGGTTCCATGTGGTCCTTCTATTAACACTGTGCGGTTCTTTCCTGTGCAAACTGCATTATACAGTACACTCTATGATCTTGTTATTCCTGGCTCTGGTTAGTGAGGCTGTTAGTTAGGTGACGTATCCATGTCCTGTGCAGGGAGGAAGAAGGGATAGAACAAAATTTGCCAACTATTTGAAGCCAGAGAAGCAGCAGGATCAATAAAGTCTGGGGATAGAAAAAGGCAGGCCCAGCCAGTCAGGGACAAATCCTAACAAAGATCAGGTGGATAGACTAGTAGTAGTTAATGGTTTCTTAACCTGAATGAGCAATGGTACCTGAGGCCCCAGGCAAGGTGAGCTCTCTCAGTATTTGCTTGATAGCATCCTGGGTATTTCTTTTAGAACTTGCATGTCACTTAGCACTTATACCTCCCTTCCATGCTGAATTCTATTATCTTGTTTTTTGGTTTGTTTTTTTAATTGAGGTATACTTGACATATAATATTATAAAAGTTTCAGGTATGCAGCATAATTCGCTATTTTGTATATATTGTGAAATGATCACCACAGTAAGTCTGGTTAACATCCATCACCACATAGTTACAATTTTTTTCTTCTAACCATGATCTTGTTAGTTCCTGTCATTCCAGTGCCTAGCACATAGTATGTGTTCAACAAACACTTGCCAAATGAATGAATGAGAAAGGAGATAGAATATAAATGCAAATAACATTTCTTTCCCAGTTACTATGGGCTAGTTGTTTTTATATATGATTGTCATTTAATCCTCACAACAAACTTTATGAAGTCCTGTTCTTGTATTAGAAACAACAAGCTGAAGTATAGAGAGGTTTACCCACTGAAGATCTTGCAGCTAGTAAGCTAATATTTAAATTCACGTCTCTGACTCTAAAACACATTCCCTATCTGCCATACCATATTGTGTCTTCTAAGAGCTGCTCAGTTTATTTCAGTACATGAATTTTAGTGTGTTTTCATATGGTGCAAAGCTTTGGCAAGGGTTTGGTATGTGACATCTCAGTTGAAAATTGTGAAATTAATTTATATATTCTCTGATTTAACTGAAGATATAAGGCGAATAAACAACAAAAGTTGAAACCAAAAATATTTTGGTATTTGAGAATGTCCTTGACATTTTAACATTAACAATCTAGTAGGAGAAACAAGCAAGCTGACAAGTGCGATACTGTATAATAAGCCCTTGTAGACAGCGTGGAGCCCAGACTAGGCTAACTAATATTTGAAGGAAGAGTAGTTTTTGCTAGTATATTGCTACAGAGCCTAAACAGCTTCCCCATGGGCAGCCACTGAGCAGCATTGCTAGGTCCCATGCGCACATAAATCCTGGGCCCATAATAGCAGCCCACTATGCAACCGCAGGCAAGGCAACCTGCCAAGTTCAGAGACCAGCAAGCCAGAAATGGGGAATCAGGCCTCTGGGAGCAGCAAGCAAGGGGAAGACAACCTCCGGGATTGATCAGAGCTGGACAGGGCCAAGCATGGGGATGTGCTGGTGATTGAGTGCCGTGCCAAGTGTGTCCATGGCCATGCGAGCTGGTGTGGTGTGGTGGGACCTCTTCATTGCTGTTTGGGAAATCAGCCAGGAAGTCCAGAAGTCCCTATAAATTAACATAGGTCTCTAGGGTGCATGATACCCCATTATATGTGGTACAGTGCACATGCTGAACACCCGTAATGCTGGGCCTGACTCCAGATACAGTGACATCTTTGCTAGTCCTCAAACATACACAAAACGATCATGCCTCGGGGCCAGTACACTTGCTTTCCTTCTTCCTGGGATGCTGTTTCCACTGAAGGCTTACTCATTTCCTTCAAGTCTCTGCTCATATGTCACCTTCCGGGAAGGACTTCCCTGACCACCCAGTAGAAAAGAGCAGGCGTTGGCCCATTCCTTCATCATCTCCCTTACCCTGCTTTATTTTTCTCCATAGTCCATATCGCTACCTGACATTTGTTTCCTTATTAACTGCCCCCTTCTGTAAGATTCATTAGGACAGAGACCTTATTTTTTCCACTGATGTTTTGTGCCTGTCTAACAAATAGTAGGTACTCAGAAATTATTTCTTGAGTGAATAAATAAATTTTATCTTTGTATCTCTAGCACCTGACAGCTGTATTATACATATATAATATGTGATATATATTATGATTGAATAAACTAGTAAAATTTTAACCTGATTTTCTTGGTTAGAGTAATAGAATCTTATAGAGGTTATCTATTCCAGCATCCTACCCACGGTGGTATTCTCTCCCTCTCCCGCATGCCTGACTCCCAGACTTCGTTTGAACACTGAAGAGCAGCTCACTAATTCACAAGGTGGTCCATCGTTGTACTACACCAAAATGGACTGTCCTCAGCGCTCCATTGAATGTACTTGAAATTGTTCCACTTAATGTCAGATCTCTCAGTGCAGGGAGCTTGCATGTCTCACACACAACCCAGCACAAAGTGGATGCCTCAAACCATGTTCTTGAAGGAATGAACAAAATTTATATATTTTGGAGAAAGAAAATTAAAAATGTCCTAATGTTAATTTCCTTACTTTGAAAATGGTGCTAATTCAGATGCAGCAATCATTAAAAGGATGCATTTGTAGTTAGTTTGTATGTGTATGGAATTTCAGGATTTTACATGTCTGGTGTCAGGAACTGCAGGACTCTTGAGTGGCCTGAGGGGACACAGGCATTGCAGGAAGCAGGGTCAGCAGAACCCGGGCTGCCTGCGCAACCTAGCTCTTAGGCCTCGAGGTTTCCCCGCCAGCATCCATTCCCACCTGCAGGGCATCCGCCTGGAAACACACAGTTCACCCTGATTACTCTGTATTTAAAATCCTTCGATGGCTTTCCTTTATCTACAACAGGATAAAATCCAAACCTTGCCCAGCATATGAGGCCTTTCTTAGTCCACCTTCTGCTTACCCGACACCTTCATCATCTGCCTTCCCCCGTTCCTATTCCGAGGGCTGCCCACCAGGAACTTCCTCCCGTGCTGTGACCAAGCAGACCCCAATGTCATGACTGCCTTTGCACTTGCCCCTCTTCCCAACCCCTCTGACCCAAATTGCTGTTGCCACTCATGGGAGCATGAGTGGTTCTTTTCTCTTAATATTTTTTATAGTGGATCTAAAATTTTGCTTCACCTTTGTTTTACCTCAAATTGCAGTTGTAGATGCCTGTCTCCAACTCTTCTCACTAGCATTTTGAGATATGGCAGTGTTTTACACATCTTCAAAGGGTGCCTAACAATAAAATGATAGCTTCCATTTGTGTGTCTCTTGTGCTCCAGCCACCATGCTAAATGCTTTTCAGACCTTCTCTCAGATCTTCAGAGGAGCCTTCCAATGTTGGTATTAGTATTGCCATTTTATAGATTAGGAAGTGGAGGCTCAGACAAGGGAAGTTACCCAGTCAGAGCACCAGGCTATTACATGTCAGTCATGCTTCAAAGCCAGGTCTGCTTGTGAGCAAAATCCATGTGTGTTCCACTGTGGGACAGCGCCCATGGCTTGATATATGCATGTGTTCCTCATGAAGAAAAGGCCAAACTTAAACATGGAATCATAGTTTTTATATTCTTACCTTTTCTTGTCTCTAAGTGTAACGAGTGTTAAAAATCTTCCCTGAGAAAATAGGTATTTGATTGTATGCAGATTCTAACACACACACACACACACACACACACACACACACGATAGGGGACAGATTGACCCTGTAACTTTCAAAAAGCTGAGCACCAGACCTAGTCATTCAACCCTGGTTCACTTAGGATTCAGCTCAAGGAACAAAGAATTTGGGGGGTATTAATGCGTAATCTGCTTTTCCTCAATAGAGAGACAGCATTTTTAAAGTGTCTTATAACCCCAGATTTACTTGGCATTTCTATCTGACTTTAGTAGCTCATCATAAACTGATTGATGATATTTCATTTGATCCCAAATGTGAAGAAAATGCCAGCCCTCATGCACCATTTCATGGAACTCTAATAGTAAAAGCCCTGTCTATTCCCCTGGGGATAACAAAGTGGATTGAATAGCTATTAAAAGTAGCTAGAAGTTTTAGTAGTGCTTTATTTTAAGCAGAAGAACAATTCTCACTATGGAATCCAGATTTTTCTGGGGTTTTTTTCATTTACTGATGGTATATGTGCTAAAATAAATTTCCGGTTATTCTCAAAGAAACTCTTTGGTACAGGTAAGTGCTACTTGAAAAATACATTTGTGAGTAAACACTTCTGTTTGTAATTTTATGAGAGAGGAGAGAGTGACCATGGTTGGGTTTCCAAGATACCAAAAGATTAAGGTAAAAAAAAGAATTTCAATGAAAATTTTTAGAACATAAAATCACTTAGCTAAAATAGCAGCCTTTGGCGGGGGATTTCCCCATCCCCCAGATAGCCTAGCCAGGCGTAGGTGCCACAAATCAGCAAAACCAAGTGTAGCCAAGTATTTCATACTCAGAGTAGATGCACAGTAGGAAAAATAAATGACAGTTGCATATTTGTAAGATACAAATTATGCATCGCTGAGTTGCCAGCTCTTGGCTTTTTACTTTAAAAAAAAAATGTGTTCCCTGTGTAATTCTGGCTCCTTTCCAGAGTCCGTATTCCTTACTGCTAGCTGAGATAAGACGCCAAACCTCTGAGCTGTTTGAATTTGCGCAACAATGCTTTAATACCCAGAGCTCCTCCATAAATAGTCTGTTCTCCCCGCACTCGGGGAGAAAACAACCACAGGAAATCTGGGAATGTGCGGCCAGCACCGCGCTTAATTGATCTAAGCCTGCAGGGCCAGCAGGAGCGCACGCGTGTACACAGCCTCTGCTCCTGGCCCGTCAGGACTGTTTCCCCAAGGGGCAGAAGAGTCTGCCTGCAGAAGACACCGTGTTGCTTCTACAGCCTTAGCAACAGCAGTAGCTGATTAGTTGTTGTTTACCGTCTGGAGAGCCGTCCTCTTTTAAGGAAACACAAACTCCTTTCCCTCATTTCTGGCCCCACTCAGTAATCATCAAGACTGTCAGCTGCCTGCAGTTGTCAGGAAAAGCAGCCCTCCGAAATCTTCTTGTCCTTCTCACAGAAGAAAAGTTAAAGGCGTGCAGATGGATGGTCGCTTTGTGCATGCAAGTGGCCAGCTCGTATCCAGGGGGCATCAGGCTATGATTCTGATTTCTGTGCCGGGTGCGTCAGCAGCTGTGGTTTGGGAGGTTGCATCCAGAAGGAGTGGAATTGCTGCAGACATTTTGGGGCTTTGGTGAGCAGGAGATATTTGGGGACATTGTGCTGTTATTGCAGAGCCCCACAATGAAGATCCAGGAGCACCCCAGCATATCTGACACTAAACTGCAAAGGACTCCGGATGCCGACGCCCAGCAGGAGAGCTTTGTCTCGGAGGTGCCCCAGCTGGACCTGACCGCATTGTGTGATGAGAAGAGCTGGACAGGTAGGATCATCTGATACTTGCATGATTTAATAATGCAAAAGCATATATAAATTAGCATAGATGAGAGGCATGAAACTGTGCGGATGTATGGGCGAGAGTAAAAGCTATGTGAGCTAACTGCATTTCTAAATGACTGAAAACCCTTTCACTGGCATAGGAATGTGTCACATTAAGTGCTGCCAAGAGTAATTGCAGCCTAAGGAAGAAAATGTGCTTGCCCTTTATCATAGTGTCACCTTGCAGTTCATTTTTTTTCTTTTTCACTCACCGGGAGTGCTGATATGTGTGCGTTTTCCTTCTAGTAGTACCAAGCAGCGTCATAAGGAACTGGTATCCATGTAGGATTTTATGTCAGTATAACCAGTCACCCACCCCCACCACCCCACTACACACCAGCCATCAACTTGCTTCATGAATCTTCTTCCAATTTTTCAGGGATATTTTGGTTTTCTTTGCTTTGCTCTACATTTGTTTTTATGGGCAGACTTTTTAAAATCCAGGTTAGCCAAAATAAGGGACTTGTTTATCAAAGAGAACACTGAATTAAAAATGCTTCTTATTGAAAGCCTGTAATACATTGTTTTGGGTTGGTTTTTCTAGGGACTTGGCAAAAACATTAGAAATGTTCGTGTGAGGAAGAAGAGGGTGTCCTCTTCAAAGCTGTATTTCGGGAGGGATATGGTAGCAGCCTCGTCAAGCTGCTGTTCTTTCACTCTCCATGTGTCTGCACCAAACGCATATCAGTGTGTATCCAAAATGAATGCCCATATGCCTCCATACAGTGTGCGTGTTTGAAGGCTACAAAGAGGGAGGAATCATGCTCCTGAGTTCAGAGCAGCAGCAAGACTTAACACAATGACTTAGCAGAGAATCACAACTATGAAAAAGCAGTCTTTTTCTGAAGCGCCTGGATTTCCTTGTCTCCCCCAGCCCCCTTTTTATTTAATTTAACAAAAATTACTCACTATGGTAATGATCGCAGATGAAGGACCAAAAGATGATCTAAAAAGACCTCAAGGTGAAAAATAGCAACTCCATGTGCTCCTGGCAGCCCGGGCTTAGTGAGGCGAAACCGTTTTTATTCTAGTTCTCCCTCTTTTCAATCTAAAAGCCATGTTCTACTTCTTTTCAGAATTAGGCAGTGGTCTATCTTCCCAGCTCATGATACATTCACTGGGGGGAAAAAATGCAGGGTGTTTTGTTTTTAATTTAAATGATACATTCCTGGTATTGTTTTGTGTATGCTGCTTTTGTGTAGTTTGAAATAATCAGGTAGAATCTTAATTCATACATTAGAAACAACACTTTCCCTCCCCTCCCCCAAAAAATAGTTCCATAGTAGCCATTGTCACCTGAATAAAAGAATAAAGCAGTAGTCCAAACAAATGCTATATTTGAGTTTTAATAATATGGTCTCCTCATAAAGCACTAGATAAAAACTAGGATTTGGGGGCAGAATTCAAATTCGCTTCATTATCTTGATGATTTATTCAGTAAAGGGGCAAATAGATTCTTCCTCCTCCTAAAATTGACTCAGTTTGATTATTTTTATCTTGATTAATCATAAATTTATAATCTCTCCCAGTACACTTAAAGAGGCAAATATAAAGCTGAAAATTTTCTCCAGAGTGGTTGAAAGGTAATAGTTTCATTAAAACTGTTTCATTACTTAATATAAAGACCTTTTCCTCTTGATAAATAATAATAGTATGAAGGAACCACATTTTATTTTGTATTGGGAAACTAAATGGAATTTAAAAAGCTCATTGAGAAAAATACATTTTAATAGGCTTGAAAATCTAATCCATGAAATGACTGCTTTAACTTTTTTTTTGCCAGTTGCTGCATTTGTCATTGAACTTGCATATCTTAAAAATCTACATAGATTCATTTCAAGGCCGTTTTGATCATTTGGTTATTGCTTTCAGTGGCTATTTTTAATCATGTATTTATTTTAAATTTCCAAGTTACATACAGCAATAATATAGCCATAGTCAGTATATACTTAGTAATATAAGTATAGCCAAAACAAAGGAATTTTTGCATAAAGGATAGATAAGATGAGAGCAATAAGTCCAATCACTAAAATATCACCTTTTTTTATAACTTCAATAAAAAAACAGATAAATGGTGACTTTCCAGTAAGCAATGAACTTTACAGTAATTTTCACTGTGAATGTGAAGCCAGTGCAGCAAAAGATGTAAATATACATGATAGTTACCAAAACCACATGAGCCAGCATCTATCTCTAAGTCTCCACTACCCATTTCCAAGCCACCCTGGGGTACAATCCCCGCTTTTTGGTTTGCTTATTTGTTACCTGTCCCCACACCATAGTTCATATTCTCATTCGTGTAGAATCATAGACTGTCAGGGGAGACAGTACTTAATGAGCAGCCTACTGGTACTGGCCTCTGCAGTGTATTCTCCAAGGTGGAAACGATGTTCTCTGGTTTCTGGGACATACTGGATAAGGAGAATTAAAGGTGAAATGAAATTAATAAGTAGATTCCATAGGCTACATAGAGTGGAACCCTCTCAAAGTGAATATAGGATCAGAGTCTAATCATGCTTGTTGGCAGATAAATAATACGTGCTTTCTCTATTTCCCCCCTTCTACATGTAGCTGTGTATTAGGCACATTATTTGATCTATCCACATTATTGTTGTTGTTTTTACTCTCCAAAATTAAATAAATACACAAATCAAATGTACTGTTCTTTGTTATTTAAAGCCCTTCCAAGTTGCATAATTAGAATGTTCCTAATCAGCCAATTCATGTGGATTTGGAGATACCTTGTGGAAATACTGAGATTTAAATACTCAGCTACATTATTAGATTTGTCCTAGTGAAATTCATTTAAAAGAACATTTCTAAACGGGCATAAAATACTCCATATATCTTATTCATCACTTACTGCTTATCGAAAATAACTTGGGAAAGGAAATTCTCTAAAAGAATGATAGAGAAGTAGCAAGGGATCTTAAAGACCTTACAACTGAACCCTTGCATTATACAAAAAAGAAAGCTGAGACCAAAATAGGCAAAATGATGATTCAAAATAAAAAAGTCTCCGGACTTCCGCCCAGATGGCTCTTTCTAAGCCATGCCAGTTAAGTAGCTTGGCAGGCAGTGGACCATAAGGTTAAGAGCCAGACACATCCTAGGTTCAAAGCCTGGCTCTACTATTAACCAGCATTGTGGACAAGTTAGTAAACATGTCTCAGTTTTGGCCTCAACCTCCCTGTCTTTAAATAGGTACAATAGTCAGTAAGAATGAATAATAGATACAGTAATATCTCCTTAGTAAGTTGGTTGCAAGGATGAAATGAGATAATACAGGCAAAGTGCCCAGCACAGCGTGGGCACATAGAAGGCACTGTGTGAATGTTAGTTGATGTTATACCATCTTCCATAAATGCGTCCAAGTCTAGTTTCAGGCAAAAAACAAAAAAAAAAAACACCTAAAGTTGCCTTCTTTGAAAGCAGAGCCCAGTTCTCCTTAATGACCAAGCAGAGGAGTCATTGATCACTAGGTCCTCCACACATTTACCAAGGGGCTAATCGTGCCACACCAACCTCTGTTTTTCTTTCTTTCTAACTCTGGATTAGAGAAATGGTGCATTTGAAAAGGCCTCCGCTGGACCTTTAAATGGGACTGGTGACAGCCCTCTCAGAGATGTGAGAGGGCTGATACCTCCATATGTCTGGAATGTGCTCTACCTCCTGCACCCGAAAGCCAGTATGACATTATGCCAAGTTGAAATAACTCTAAATAGCATATAGTTGGAAATGAGATGTGGAAAATATCAGTTCCCTTAATTCTGTGTGGATTTCTTAGAAATAAATCATCTCAGTAGCCAGTTCCCTCTAGCATGATAATTGGATCCAGCCAGGTAAGCAGAGAGTGTGTGCGTCCCAGTGACCGCATAATATCAGTCAGGGCTGTGTTCCCTGTTCCTGCGGTGAATTACCTTTATTTCTATGTGTACTGTACTGTCTGAATTGGAATTCCCCCAGGGCCTATTCTTTTTTTTTTATTACTTAGGTAGCAAGCATACAGCTTTTATCTCTGTTATTTCTGACCTGCTGTGATGTCAGCTGACCTGGGTGGATTAATGTGTAATAGAGAGACATGCCATACTTATGTCCAGAGTTCCTTGTGACAAGACACATGGCTAAATTCAAAATCACTGTATCCAGGGAATTCTGGTCTAGATATGAAAACACTTTTATTTTATGTGGGCCTTTAAGATGAAAATCCAATTGGAAGACTCAAATCTTTTCTGTTTTCCCTTTGAATAATTTTCGTGCAATATCCTTGTCTGTCTTATTGCTCTAAAATTGCTGATTAAAATAAAAAATATTTCCCAAACCAGCAACTGGGAAATGTTAGTGAATGCATCCTCAAAACTGACTCTCTGTGCAGGTAATGCAATTTGACATCGTATCATGTATACACTGTTCTTTTTGCTCCCTTCTCGTTTTTCTATTGAGTGCCAACTATCAAAACATGAGGTAGCCTTGTAGTTTTAGATCATTTCAAACTAAAACAGAAGAAACATAGGTTTTATTGATTCTCCAGTTATATTGAACTATGTATTACATGTAATTTTTTAACTCTTTTGAATAGGAGCCTTAAATTATAAGACTATAGAATAAAAGTAAGGAGAGAGAAATCATCTAAGCATTTTATGTTACAGAGGTGAGAAACTTCACTTCTGTGCCACATGCTGACTAATGATCAAACATACCTTTGTATTTTGTTAAATTCATAATGGTTTTACATTTCTTATTTTGAAAGAAGTGAATTCATTCACCCCAGCTATACGCTTTGAGAGAAAATGTCACCTATAAGCTAGACTTTCTTCAGCTGTGTATTTCATGTATACCACTGGTGACACTTAGAAAACCAACACATTTCATCTTCTTATCAGTGAAGCAATTGGTCAAGAATGGAGCCACAAAATACAGCTGTGCTAACAAAAAGGAGCCCTGATGGGTGGTCTCGTGTGAGTCACAAAGCTTTCACCAAGCATAATTCTGTTCCATGATTAGTGTTTTATAGTGAATTCAGAATCACAATATATCTTTTACTGGAGCCACGTTTGGTTTTGCAAACAGACCACATAGTTGAAATCTTAAAGATTAGTTGTAACATTTTTTTAAAGAGATATTCTGCAAGATTTGGACAAATTAAAGGGCTTCAAGATCTAAGGTAACTCCTCTCCCAACTAAGTTTTGATGAGTAATGTCAAACTAGCCAGCAGAGCCATATGCCAATATCAACATCAGACTTTGTTTTGCCGATGCCCTGTGTCCTGCTAAACCACCTTGCCCTGCCCGTGGTTGTTTTGCTCCTTGGCCTCTCTGTGGTGAGGTGATTGCCTTCTGGATTACTGTTCAAGCCATCTTAACCCTTTCCCTGTCCTGGCCCCATTGATTTTAGTCCTTGCAGAAAATGACTGCTGTTTCATGAAATAGAAGATGCAATCTGATCAGTTTAGTCGTTCCATTTTCTGCAATTTAGCACAGCATTTCTCTTCTTTTTCTAGGGATTACTTTCCACTCACCCCTCCTCCTCTCACCTCTCAGTCTGTGTTTTTACTCTTATGTTGGCAGCTCTGAGGTGCTCGTATCTGAGAGCCACTGAGGAGGAGCTGACTGATAGCGTTAGTACAAATGATGAAACAACACCTGTGCCTCTCCTACTTCAGCCAAGTAAATCTGCCAACATATTCTCCACCACTTTTGGAGACTCCATAGGCAAGAATCTGTCTTCAGCACTGCTTTCCTTTTTTTCAAAATATTTATATTATCATCTGTGTTCCCAGATAAGTTGGTTCTCTCTAAGCCCTGAGAACCTGTGGGCCTCATTCCACATGAAGTTAATTGTTTTTTTAATTAATGTGTTTATCTGTCCTACTACACAGTGGGGTCTTCAAAGTTCTCAGGCAGTCATCCTTGTTATTGAAGCAACTGGCACATTCTAAATTGAAGCACTGTCCTGGAGTCAGGAGATTTAGTTTCTAGCCCCAACTGTCATTGATTAGGTATTTGCTCTTAACTGCTTTGGGTTTCAGTTTCCTTATCTGTAATCTGTTGGGTTGAATCAGTGGTTCTCAAAACCTACTGCATTTAGGATCTCTTGTGCAGCTTTTAAAAGTGTGTGTGTGTGTGTGTGTGTGTGTGTGTGTGTGTGTGTGTTACATATCTGAGCCCACACCTAAAAATTCTGTTTAATTGGGTGGTATGAGGACCTGAACATTAGGAGGTATTCATATCTCCTTGTGTGACCTTAATGTGCAGCCAGATTGAGAAATCACTAGATTAGATGATATTTAAGGTCTTAAGGAGGTTTAATACTCTGTTATAATACGAACTTTTTAAATAAAATACTGAGTAAGCATTTGTTTAAGATAATGTTGTAAATTTTATAAATACTTTGATGGCTGAAGGAACAGTTGTTCCGTGATTTAAGCTGTAGGAATCCCAGAATTTAAAATCATGGGCAAATTCTAGCCTTGTATAAATCACAGTAATCCACAAATGTACTTGAAATGTGTAACTCTTTTTTAATGCATAGAGTATTACAAATGAAATACCCTGCATAATCTGACATCTATCTTTAAAATATATTAGATAGGACTTTTTAAATAAGGAATATATTCAGGTGGGTCTTGCAGTAAATAGAAATAAATGTCACCTTATTCCCTCCCAAAATCACAAATCAGGATTTTGTGCTGAGTATATTTTCTACTTAAAGATTCTCTGAGATAACTTGTACAGATTTATCCTTTGTAAGGCAGTCTTCCTTTTTTTTTTTTTTTGACTAATTTTTGTATGCATCTTACTTTAACTGTAGCCTTGAGCAGCTTCTGAACTGCCAAGCATGCATCTTAAACATGCTAATCCCAACACATTAAGCAGTAGCACACAAATCAGCTTACTGAATGACCTCAGTGGTAGGGGCAAACTCCTAAGTGGCTCTCACATGATTAATGTGATGCCTTAGCTGGATTCCTGTCCATCAATGAAAGATGGATAGCCATGATGCCAGATCACTCCCTCCCTGACACATTTGCATTTCTTTTCCATAAAGTCCTCACATGGAAAAGTTCTTGTCAGTGATCTTGGGTGGTGGGAGGTAGAAGCATACACTTGGTTCTCCTCCTCCGAGGCTGCTCCTCAGGG